GCCCCCCCCCCAACACACATACACACTCACACAGGAGGGTAGGCTGAAAACTATGAGGACTGAGGACAGTCCTGACAAGATTCGAGTTCTGAGAGAACTCACCATTTTCCGACGCTGAATTTCACCCGGAAAGGGGGGTTGTCAAACCCCCCTCCCCCACTGCATCCGAAGCACGCCAGCTTTCCTGTTTGCCCTATCTTTGGAACAACCAAATCTACCCTCAACAATTCTGACACACTGAGAGGATGTCAATGCCTCTGCCTCTAGATACCAGACGCCACACAAGCTTGGTCGGTTCTTTTCCACTCCCAGACTTTTAACACCCACCTGCCCCCCGCCACCCTGCCTCTCCTCCCTGTCCCCAACCCCACCTTCCAGGCTTTCAATTTCTGCTGGCACAACCATATGGCGATAACACAATGCAGCACCAGCCACCACCACTGGCAACAGTGACAAGCAATAGACGCTGCTCACAAGTGATAGCCGAAAAATGGTCACACCTCAGCCCCTTCCACTCATAGAGATAGCCACTGCTCACAAGAAATAGCCAATAGCCACACCTTGGCTCAGAAAACGTCGATTCCTCGAAAGAACGGCACTACCACTTTCAGAGTGCCTTGATTTGCCGTTCCCACAAGCAAGCCGACACCGAATAACCATTGCAGAATAGCCATCACGATATCGCCATCACGATATAGCAATCACAGAATAGCCGTCACAAAATCGCCTCCACAGAATAATCGCCTCAGAGCCGCCGTCACAGAGTCGCTATCAACACAGAATAGCTGCCACAGAATAGCTGCCACAGAATAGCCGCTACAGAATAGCCGCCACAGAATAACCATCATAGAACAGCTGACACAGAAAAGACGTCACTGCTAATGGGGGTTTGGGAGGAGAAACTTCCGAGAAACTTCCGAGACACTTAAAAGTTAAAACACAACAAAAAAAACAAAAACCAGAACGAATACACAGTATTAAAATACTATTAATTTATTGAAAGCTTATGCTCCTGTTCACAGGACATGGCCGCCACCACTTAGGCAAGAAAGTAGCCATAGCCACCGCCACTGGGAACAGAAGATGCCTATCGGCTATAGCCTCTACAGACTGAAGTGTTTCCTCTTGCAGACAAATAACTGCAAAAGTGCATTCTATAAAAAGGAATAGCCACTCCTGCAGGTCGGAACAAGAAAAGGACAGGGAAGAAGGGTGCGGTTACTACGTCCACAAAATGAACGAGAGAGAGAGAGAGAGAGAGAGAGAGAGAGAGAGAGAGAGAGAGAGAGAGAGAGAGAGAGAGAGAGAGAGAGAGAGAGAGAGAGAGAGNAGAGAGAGAGAGAGAGAGAGAGAGAGAGAGAGAGAGAGAGAGAGAGAGAGAGAGAGAAATAAAAAAATAAAAAAGCTGTTGCTGTTGATTGCAGAAAAAAATAGCTGCCGCAGGTGCTCCAAAAATATAGCCGCCGGCGGGTCACTGCCTCTGCTTGCCGCAGAGGTGAAAACAACCGTCGTCGTCGTCGTTGTTGTTGTTGTTGTTGTTGTCTTTGCTTGCTACTCTCAGGCGGGAAATTGCAGTACTACGATCAGAGACTTTGCAGGAAGTAAGTACTAGGAAGTTGGAACTATTTAGGAATAGCCAATAGTCAATAGCCACTATAAAATGCCTGGTCTATGGACTACCTCTGGTTTTGCATAGCTCACAGAGGCCGTGCTATCTGCTGCCGCTGCCGCCAAGCTATATTCATTATTTTCTGAGACGGAATTGCTCATAGCCGTTATACTAAGACGATTCAAATGGTTAGAACAAATAGCCGTAGAATGGTCATAACATCGCTCTTAAATGGCCGTCAATAGCCATCAAATAGCCATCCAATAGCCAACAAAAAGCTATCCACTGGAGAATGCCATCACTGACAAAGAAGAGCTGCTAAATATATGGTGAGTCAGATGACTAGTTCAAACAGCTATTGAATAGCCATCAAATAGTCATCAAATAACCATCAAATAACCATCAAATAGCCACCAAATAGCCACCAGATAGCCTATCAAATAGCCATCAGGTAGCTATCAACTAGACAAGCCCATCAGTGACAACAAAGAGCAGCTATCATAAGGTGAGTCAGATGATTCCGACAAATAGCTATACAATAGCCTTAACAAAGCTAACATACATACAGGCACTTAATAGCCAGCAAATAGCCATTGGGTAGTTAATAGCTATTCAATAGTTACTTTATAGACAAAAAAGGCCAGGGAGATTCCAAGGCCGAAGACATACACAACCTACACGGTTACTAAGCCAGCATCAGGGGTAGTTGGGTGGGGAGGGGGGGGAAGGAACAGTTAAAAAGGGGTAGTTGGGGGGAGCAAAAAAAAAAAAAGGAACAGTTAAAAAAGCTTCAAAAAGGCCAGCATCAGGGGTAGTGGGGGGAAAAAACTTCAAAAAAGGGTAAAAGCCAGAATCAGGGGTAGTGGGGGAAAAAAGGGAAAAAGTGAGCATCAGGGACAGTTGGAGAAAAAAGGGAAAAATGTCAGCTTTTCAGGGGCAACCCCCTCCTAATAGCTGAGGGATCTCCGCTCTTCTACCTAACACACACACAGAGCCACAGAAAGAGGAGAAAAGTAAAAGGGGGAGGGGAGGGGAGGGAAGGAAGGAGAGAGTCAGTAGTGTGAGTATGCCCTAAGGACTTCAACATAGTTATATTAACTTATTATTGTCTTAATGAATATACGGCATGCTGATTCCCCTCCGTCTTGTCACACGCCCACTATCTCTGTGCCATCACTAGATTCACCACCCTTCTCCATCATGATGCCTGTTATTGCGAAAGTGCCCTACCATCTATCGCGCCTGAGGCTCTGCTTTTTCTTTATGTCCCCACACTGATAAAATGCTGCTAGCGGGAAGTACCCATGGTTGCATGGCCACCACCACAACGACCGCTGTTGCCGTCACTCCAACAAGCGTCCGGAATAAATCTCTTCATCGCCCCCCCGCCCCCCCCCCCAACGAACGTGTAGCTAGAGTACTCGCCAGAGCGGAAACCTCGCATCGGATCTATATCGCCAGAGTAGAGAATCACGTATACATTATATATGGAAAAAGGCTCGCATCGCAAGAGGTGGTTGTGTCTTGTCTTATCGTTTACTTGCCACTGTAACAACCTCAGGGTAGCACAACCCCGGTTCCCTGCTGCGGTAAATAGTAAATACCCATGGTTAATAACTAACCGTAGCAAGAATAGCCCATTCTCTTCTTGCCTATTGTGCTAGCACGGTGTGGTCGATTGCCCCCCCAGCGTATGTGTGCAGTAGCATGCACATTACTACCGACCGGCAAAGCAAGTAGTTGCAGTTGGTTTATGACTACAAAGGGAGAGAGAGAGAGGAAGGAGAAGGAGGGGGGAGGGGGGCAGTAATCCACAGCCAATGGCTTGAGGTTAGACACCTGTTAATTAACCCAATGGGGCCAATCAATGTCACAATAAAAAAAACTGGGGTTAGTGAGTTAAGTGGAAGGAGAGAAAAGTTATTACGACAACATGATATTTATTACCAGCGTGAAAGTCGGATCAATAACATATGGAACCCAGTGCAGTAACTTCGCACTGCACCGTAAACATTACCACCGTAATTTTTTGCCTGCCAAAAAATTACGGTCTAACTTCATCATGCTATATTTTAATTGATTACCAAGTCAACTTCACCAACACTGCCTGTGGTAACTGTGGTTAGCTGCCTGGACTCTGGAGTTACTGCGGTAAAAAATACGAATCTGGTTCAACGGATCGAACTGCATGCATTACTGCGTTTTAATTTTTAAACCTAGTATACCCTCTTCCCAGTGGAGATAGTTACCGACGGGTTTATTCGCCTCTTGCATCTGAACTCTGGCGAGCCTAAATCCAGCCACGGTAAAACATACTAAAGCCCGGTAAAACTGATGAACGGCTGTGTTACTGCTTTTACATCTGGTTAAAACCACCAGAGTTGTCAAGGTGTGACCTGAAAGACTTCTACAGAGGAGATAGATAGTTACCGTGGAAGAAACTAAGAGAGCCTGGTCGGTAAAAAAGAAGAAAAAAAAAAACATCAGTTCTTTGTTACGGGGACTTGCGGCAGCCGTAACTCTGGTGGGAACCAGAATTACCAAGACAAAAAAAAAAAAAAAAAAAAAAGATGACCTCAGTTACTTGAGAATGCTAAGCGCAGTTACCACTAGACTTAAAAGGGCGTATTCACAGTAGGTAGCACTATCGTAAACATTTATCTCACCGCATTTATGACCCGACCTGGGATGTAAGTGCCCGCAATTACATCTAGCCACAAATGGTTAGCAGGTAGTAAGAAGTGCACTCTACAGATTGGTGTGAAATATGGTTAAAATGGCCCTTTGGTTTTCTTATAAATGGGGGTGAAAATTTGGGGGTCGGTTAACCTTCTGTCCATCTAGCAACAAGTACCAACAGTCGTCAACTGCCATCATGGCGGTAGCAACAAGGACAACAGAGCTAACCCAAGAACTGCAAAGTAGCCTGTAACTCAGCAAATTTTGCTGGAAGGCAGCCAACTTAGCCAACTTAGCCAACTTAAGGCCAAAAAAAACCCAAAAACTGGAAAGTAGATGAAGTTGCTAAACTGAGAAGGGCATAATAACTATAAGGCTATATAAGCTATCCAAGTTCCAACAATTGATTAGTCTATTTTAAGTTTTAAAAATTTGCTAATCTCAATACATTGCATACATTTGAGCGCCAAAGTACGAGACGTTGAGGAGCACCTATATGGCGTTCAGCTTGTAGCAATTGGCTATTGGCTATTCTGGGGACTATATGGCGTTCGGCCTGTAGCCAGCGATTTCTAACTGTAATCAAGTAACTGGCACAGCAATTGGCTATTCTGGGGACTATGGCGATCGTCGGAGTACTGATTGGCACAGCTATTGGCTATTCTGGGGCCTATGGCGATCGCCGGAGTACCGATTGGCACAGCAGCAATTGGCTATTCCCGTGCACTCTATTCCCGCCCGGCGACTGGTGTGAATTCTGAGCGGCCATTCGTCGGTTATTCGTCGGCTATTCGACGGCTATTGGCACAAAAAAAAGTGTGACACCCGCAGCATATCCATATCCGCCTCCGTCCACTAGCGAGCATCATACTATCAACAACAACTCTCTCCGTTTGATGGCTGGAACTGTGAGCAGGTACGATCTGCAAATCAGCGGCACATTTTCCGACAACAGTGACTGCAAGCACCTGCACATTTTCCAGCAAGAGTCAAATAAATCTGTTTTAGTAATACCATTAAAAAATATGATTAAATCAAATAATAAATTGACATAATTCAAGTTAAATGAAGTTAATTAAATTTAGTTCAAAATTTTAAATTTAATCAACTGAGTTACCATAATTCATTATTATAAAATTCTATATAACTTTTATGAGTTTTGTGAACTTTTATCCAAGTAAAAAAAGAAAGCTTTTTTCTTATTTTTTGATTTTTTTTCCTTTCTTTTGGAAACATGGGCCCAAACATGGGCCCACGTCCCAAGGTTAGATTATAATAGTACCGGGAAACAGGCCCGGCGTCTCTCACAATATGAAAGAAAGAGGGGACCCTGTTGGAATGAGCAAGGCTCTCCAGCCAGGCTCGAACCAGGCCCTTGAATTCGTCCCAAAAACTGTCCACGCAAACTACTACAGAGTTCCTGGATGTATCTGGTCGCAAC